GGGGGAGCCGCGCCACGGGGAAAGCGCCGGGCCGCAGGGGAGCGGGCCTGCCTCCCGGTGGCCCCGAGCTGGGGCGGCGCCTCCCGGACTCCCCGGCCTGGGTGGTGCTGGGGACACCTCGGCTTCCGGAGGGAAGGGGGCGCGGGCCGCCGCGGGGGCTCTAGTCTCGGCCTGTGGGGTTAGGCGCCCAGGAGCCTGTGAGGCAGGGACACAGGCGACCGCTGGGTTCCGACCACAGCCCTCCGGCCACACAGCCCAGGTGGGACAGGGCGGGCTGGGCGGCAGTGTGGGGCCTCCGTAGGGAAGTGGGGGACAGAGGTCGGCGGCGTCCACCAGAATCCAGTCACCCTTGCACCCAGACCGCCTGCTCCCTCCTCGGGGGCCATTAGACATGGCGGTCCGTGTGGACGCGGGCTGGGGGAGGGGTGCACACGGCCTCCCTCTAACCCATGTCCCCAGGGCAGTGGCATGGAGCTGGTGAGCAGCCCGCTGACCACACACGTGCTGGACACCGCCGCAGGGCTCCCAGCCCAGGGCCTGTGCCTCTGTTTGTACCGGTTGGAGGACCACGGTCAGCAGTGGGCCGAGCTGAGCAAAAGGTAGGAGGCAGCCGGGTCGGTAGGGAATCCAGACTCCCATCCAGCCAGGAGCAGGTCCCTGGGCTGCAGGGGAGGGCTGACTGCCGCCCAGCTGTCCACGCCCTGGTCCACCCTCATTCTGAACTGTTCTCACCTGAGAGCGGTGTCCCGTCAGGTGTGCACAGCTCTGGGTGTTGCCACAGCACTTGCTGGGACAGCCTGAGTGGCTGTCTTCGTCCCAGCCTCACCACACCTTTGAGCACCAGCTGGGGTGGGAGCAGCCTGGGAGTGAGGTGCAGGCCGAAAGGTCCATGTCCCACTCTGCAGCTTTGTGCCAGGCAGCGCGTGCAGGCCTCAGCTCTCATTCTCCGTACACTGGGCAGGCACCACTGGGCAGGCACCGTCAGTTGGCAGATGAGAGGCCTGAGGCAGCAGGGGCCAAGGTAAAGCTGGACTCCGGGTCAGGCCATCGGCACACAGTGCCCAGGCACAGGCTCTGCTGGGGGTCCCAGTGAGCCAGAACGTCACCCAGCCTGGGACAGCCAGCCTGTGGCCTTTGGGAGCACCTTGTGAATGGGATCTCTAGATATGCCATCTTTTTTGGGTTTTTTCCTTTGAAATTTAAAAAAAAAAAATTTTTGTAGTTTTCTTTTTAAGGTTTTTTGCCATGGGGCATATCCACTCATCAGAGAGAAAGAGACAGAGGAAAAGTGAGAAATCAGCCCACGACCACTGGATGATCACTCTGCAGTCTCTTCTCTATTCTCCTCCTAGGACCCTGGGCATGCACACAAATATGCCCAGTATGCCTTTCAAGCCTTCAGGTCCAGGACTTGAACCTTGGTCTGCCATGTGGGAGTACAACACGTCACCTGCTGGCTCCAAGTATTTGATTTTGGGTATTTTTTTTTTTTTTTGAGAGGTTTTTGCTGTAGGGAGCGTGCACTCGACAGAGAGACAGAAAGCGAGAAATCACCCCCCAGGGGGGATGGCCAGGCCGCAATCCCTTCTCCTCCATTCTCCTCTTGGGATCTTGGGCATGCACGTACACGCGCCCAGCGTGAGTTTTAAGCCACCAGGTCCAGGACGTGAACCGTGGTCGACTACATGGGAGTCCAGTGACATAGCCATTATGCTAACTGCTGGTCCCTTAATATATTTTTAAGACTTACTCATGTAATTTTAAAATTTATTATCATTATTATTCAGTTTGACCAGAGAGTTTAAAGCAAGCCGCCAGATCTGTGACTTGAACCGCAGCTGGCTGTGTGAGAGTCCAGTTCCCTAACCACCACACCACCTGCTGGCCCCAGGGATTTGTTTTTAATTGCTGGAGGGCGCATGCACTTACCAGGAAGAGGGACCACACCATGATGGGGGTGTGGTCATGTGATCCCTTTCCTCTAATCCTTCCTATCAGGATTTTGGGCTCCCAGCGTGTTTTTCAAGCCACCAGAGATACAGACCTTCCACCATAAAGGAGGAAAATTCTCACTGGTGGCCTGAGAAGTGGGAAGGGAGAACAGGGTGGGAGTCGGGGAGGCTGCATCCCAAAAGTTCGGCATCTGAAGACGTGGCTTGTTCCCTGCCTATTCCAAGCTTCACAAAAACTGGAGGCCCTATCTGAGCAGTCAGGACAGTGCCATATCCACCACAGTCCCACAGAGGGTCCTGTTCACATTCATACACCTGCCCCCACACACTGCAGGTGCTTACTGTGCCCTTTCTCATACACATACACACACACACACATACACTCTGAGTACGGCAAGGTGAAACAACATGAAGTTCTTCTGTGAGCACAGGCCCTCGGAACCTCTCTTTCTAATGGTCCTTACAGTGTGAAACAGCCACCATGTGGCTGGAGGCTGGGTATAGTTACCCAAAAAGTCGTGTACGTGTGTATTAAATGAAAAATCTAGGTTATAAAACAGTAAGAAAAACAGGACACAGGACCAGCAGATGGCATAATGGCTGTATCACTGGACTTGCATATAGTCAACTGCAGTTTTGAGTCCTGGACCCAGTGGCTTCAAACTCATGCCAGGCACATATGCATGCCTAAAATCCCAAGAGGAGAATGGAGAAGGGACTGGCAGCATGGCCATCCACCCTGGGGTAGTGATTTCTCACTTTCTCTCTCTCTGTCACTCTCTTGTCTCTCCAGCAAGCACATGCACCCTATAACAAAAATCTCTTAAAAAGAAGTCCAGTAGAAGTTGGGGGGGGGGGGGCCCTAGCAGGTGGCATGGTGGTTAAGGGCACTGTACTCCCACATAGACAACTGCCGTTTAAGTCCCTGATCTGGCAGATTGCTTTCTCACTTTCCCTCTCTCTCTATCCCTCTCTTATCAAATTAAATTAATTAATTAAAAATAAAGAAAAGAGGTGCCAGCAGGTGGCCTGGTGGTTAAAGATTCCCACACAGCTGATCGCTGTTGGAGTCCCGGACCTGGCGGCTTGTTTTCTCGCTTTCCCTGTCTCTCTGTCTCTGTCTGGTCAAATTACAAAATAATAATAATAATAATAGCAGATGGAATTAAATATGTAATTTTTTTAATAAAGGAAAAAACAAGGATAAATAGTATATAATCCATGTTACAGCTTTGTTTAAAAGTTCATAAGTAAACATCTTTATGCACAGAGAAGATCTGGAAAAACATAATGGCAAATGGGAGAGACTCTGGGGGAATTACCCCTTTTTCCTTATAGTTTATCCATGAGCCGCTCCAGAACACAGGCCCTAGACTGCCCCTCTGTGCTCACCCACGTCTGAGTCAGGTGTGGGCAGTGTCTAGGCCCACTGGGGCAAACCCATTCAAGCCAGGCAGGGCAGGTCCTTGTCCTCTCTGCAGCCCTGTGCTCTCCCCAGCCACACAGACCCAGATGGACGCTGCCCTGGGCTCCTGACACCAGGCCAGATGAAGGCAGGAACCTACAAGCTATCCTTCGACACTGAAGGCTACTGGAAGAAGAGGGGGCAGGAAAGCTTCTATCCGTTCGTGGAGGTGAGCACCTCGGCGGGTTGGAAGGGGAGAGTCATGACTCACTGGGACCTGCTGGCCCAGCTCACCAGGCAGGGCGCAGCTCCCAGGGCAGTGGTAGCTGGTAAGCTAACCTGCATGGAGCTCCCAGAGGAAGGTGCAGATCCCTGGGGCATCTGTAGTCAGGCTTCAGGGCAGACCCTACAGAGGAGCGCCTCTCCCTTTGGCAGGCAGTGATCTTCCACACCCTGCTCTGGTTCACTGGCCTAAGTTCACTGACTCATCCTGGGTTGTGGACCTACTGGCCAGTCCGGGGACTCTGGCCACAGTAGGGCTGTCCCTCTGAGTTGAGCACTCTCTTGGGGAGGACTCTTCAACTCTGAGTTAGTCTCCAGTTCTCCACTGTTGGACTCCAGATGAGCCTGGGGCTCCTGCCCTCCCTCGGCACCAGCCCCATGCTCTACGTCAACTGCTGAGCCCCCTGGAGCTGGTATGCTGCGGCCCCTCATCTAGTACCTTCTGTTTCTCTCAGGTTGTTTTCACCATCACAAACGAGACCCAGAAGTTCCACGTGCCTTTGCTGCTGAGCCCGTGGTCCTACACCACGTACCGAGGGAGCTAGAGGCGAGACCAGCATGAGAAGCGCTCTCCCCCCTTCGCAAGCTGAGCTGCCCACCAGCCCTCCAGTGGCATCGGGGTCACCTGCTCCCTGAGGGAGGCTCTGGGGAGCCAGGATTGGGGGTCAATAAAGGCAGTGCTGCCGGCTGGGGGGGGG